CCCAAATCAGGTAAATTAGTGTCAGTTACATCTTTCTTTTTTGTAACCTTCTACAGTTAACAAGAAATGAAAGGAGGAAAGTTAGTAAAAGATAGTAACATACAAAAAATATTATATATTCTATATTTTATTTTATACTATATTTAATATAAGGAGTAAAAATTTTATTTCACAATTTCTTCTTAATCTTTAACAAAAGACTAAGGAAGACTTGTCATGGAAAAAGCCTGCAAGTCAATACAGCATCAAGTGTCCAAACTAGACACATAAAACTTTTAACTGCTTATCAGGATTCCCAGAAATATCCTGAATTCCCAAGCCCATTTGTTCCATGAAAAAATGTACTTTCAGACACACCATTGTACTACTTCCTAGAGACACACACTGTCCCTTCAGCATGGAACCTGTCAGTGCTATTTGGCACAGACCACCAATCAAAACTATAGAGAATCACAGAATTATWGATGTTGGAAAGGATCTCTTGAGTTCATCTTGCCCAAATATCCTGCTCAAGCCAGGTCAGCTAGAGCAGCCTGTTCAAATATCTCCACAGGCCGACACTCCATGACTTTCCTCTGTTTGACAACCCTGCCAGTAAAAGTGTTTTCATGTGGAATTTCATGTGTTTTAATTTGCATCCATGGCCTCTTGTCCTGTCAGTGGGTACTACTGCAAAGAGTCTGGATCCCTCATCTTCATTCGTTCTCTTTAGGTATTTGTAGGCACTGATGAGATCCTGCTGAGCCTGGTTTTATTCCAGGCTGAATGCTCCCAGCTCTCTCAGCCCCTCCTATTAYCAAAGAGAATCCAGGTGCCAAATCATCCCTGTGACACTGCTGGATCCTTTTTTTGCCACTGCTGTCTGGGGTGGCTTTTTGTCCACCAGGTCCCCTAAGTCCTTCAGCAAAGCTGTTTGCAGAGCTATGTTATCATGTGCAGAAACAGCACAGCATTTAAGCATCACTGAGAATTTACCTCACTCTTCCGCACACTTTTTCCCCTGGGAAAAAAAAAAAAAAA